TTCGGAATGGAAAGTAATATTGATGTAGCAAGTTTCATGTCCATCCGAAATATATTGAAAAAGTTTATATCAAATGGCCGATTTTTGGGAAGAGCTGACCCGGCGTGTAAACATTTAATAACTGAAATACTTCCTTCACCACCACCTAGTTGCTGATTATAAACATTTAATAACTGAAATACTTCCTTCACCACCACCTGGTTGCTGATTGCCTGATTATATACATTTAATAACTGAAATACCTCCTTCACCACCACCTGGTTGCTGATTATAAACATTTAGTAACTGAAATGCCTCCTTCACCACCACCTGGTTGCTGATTATAACACGCCGGGTCAGCTCTTCCCAAAAATCGGCCATTTGATATAAACTTTTTCAATATACTTCGGATGGACATGAAACTTGCTACATCAATATAACTTTCCATTCCGAACAATCGTATGTTTTTTATTTTTGAGATTTAACGGTTTTTGGCGGGAAAATGACGTCACGAAACCTCCAGTTAAAATTTATTTTCAATATCTTAATAGTTTTGTCGCAGAATTTGGAAGAACATATCATGAGCAGTTCAAAACTGAAAGCGGATTTTAAATATCTAAACATAATCCAAAGTTATTTCACTATAAAAACCATGAAAAATCTATAAATAGTAACAAAATGGTGGAAAATTCGATTCTAAACTCCCTGTATCTCGTGATTAGGTTGAGATATTTAAAATCTGTTTTCAGTTTTCAACTCTTCATGACATGATCTTCCACATTCTGCTTAAAAACTATTAAGATATTGAAAATAAATTTTAACTGGAGGTTTCGTGACGTCATTTTCCCGCCAAAAACCGTTAAATCTCAAAAATAAAAAACATACGATTGTTCGGAATGGAAAGTAATATTGATGTAGCAAGTTTCATGTCCATCCGAAATATATTGAAAAAGTTTATATCAAATGGCCGATTTTTGGGAAGAGCTGACCCGGCGTGTAAACATTTAATAACTGAAATACTTCCTTCACCACCACCTAGTTGCTGATTATAAACATTTAATAACTGAAATACTTCCTTCACCACGACCTGGTTGCTGACAAACATTTAATAACTTGAATACCTACAGTACCTACTTAACCACCACCTGGCTGCTGATTAATAACATTTAAAGCTGGTTGCTGCAAAAACAAATGATATTGCCTCTTTCGACATAACTGTTTGAGGAAGCCAGGAAGGCATCTGATAAATGAGTTTCCCTGTTGAGTTTTATCATCAATGAAGCTAATTTATTTGATGCCAACCTTTCATGTACTTCAGACAGTAGTGTAATAACAGCTATAGTATGATATGTCTTATGAACGGATGAACATTATGTCATGGTATGTTTAATGCCTTAATGGTAATTGGTAATTCCCATTTGACCACAGTCTACAGCAGTGCTTGATCTAAACAGAAGGTGTGTTCAATCTCACAGACAATCTGACAATATTGAGGTAAGTCTGTAAGTGGATGTGGATCATTTATTTGTTTTGACGTTTGATATACAAATGTGCTGTTCGCACTTTACAAAGTAGCAAAACCAGCAATGGTGACATAGTGTGGACTTTCTCTGTGACTCTGCATCTTTAATGGCGTACCGTCGTGCAAAGGCTATGCAAGTATTTCTTAAATGTAAACGCGTTCGTTTTATATGGATGAAAAAATATTTGTGCAATTTTGAGTCCCAGACGCGCAACTGCGAAAATTGGACGCGCAAAATTTCGGAAAATTTTGATCTCGCTTGCACAATTTGCAAACTTTCCAGTCTGGCACACAGATAGAGGAATACTTTTGTTCATAACATTCGGGACATACACCACTGTACTAATAAATATATTTACTTTCAGTAAAATATGAAAACAATATGAACAACAAAAAAGCAAAAATAAATGCTAAAATTAAATGAAGCTTGCGCAGACGGCAGAACAACACGAAGACAGACAATGTTCGTAATGACTACAGAATTTCTCACATAGTGCAAAAGAAATTAAAGATCTGTTTTTAGCGACTAAAATATTTGGCTGAAAAATATTGAAAACTATTTGGAGTTGCACACACCATACACACCTTTTTCGTCCGACATGTTTAATAATCAACACATGTGATAAAAATTGGCGGGAAATGCAAGACTTCCACTTGCGCATGCAGAGATTTTCCCTATGGATTTCCCTACACTGCCCTACGCCCTGATTTTCTCTATAACGGGAATAGCTGTGGAAGTACTGATGGTGGCCAATGATTGGGGCACATAATGTTGTTGTTGGATTGTTGTGAACTTGTGGATTGTTGTGAACTTGTGGCTGGTTTTGGATCGTTGTGGCTGGTTTTGGGGTCGTTGTGGGTCATTGTGGATCGTTGTGGAGTCGTTGTGGGTCGTTCCATGTTTTAGTAACTACAGCTTGAAAACTTTGTATAATACAATACAAAACGAAAAATGAATAAGGTAGTGAAATGGCTCAATGCCAATAAATTATCAATCAACGCTTCTAAGACAAAATTTGTAATTTTTAAATAAAAAAATAACCCAGTAAGCACGCGACGTCGTTTCGACGTCGAATTTTGGTTGAATTTCGGTCGCGATGTCGATCTACCTTTAAACACCTTCATTTCGACGTCGTTTCACCGACCTGATATCGACATCTCAAAACAGACGTTGTTTCGACGTCGTTTCAACGTCAGGTAAAATCAAACAAACACAATATTTGACTGCATTTTATTGGAAAATGTTTTTGTAGTATTGGGAATGGTCATCCAAGGAATATAATATGAAATTTTTGTCATGTCGTTGAGGCGACCATGTATCAGCTTCATTTCGACGACGTGATATCGATGTCTCAAAACAGACGTTATTTCGACGTTGTTTCAACGTCAGGTAAAATATGACAAACACAATATTTGACCACATATACGAAAATATATTTATTACTGTTGTGGTATTGTATAGGGTCTTATATAAGGAAATTTGATATGAAATATTAATTATGTCTTTGAGACGACCATATTGCATATGTCAACTTCATTTCAACGTTGTTTTACGAAGTGATACCGACGGCTCAAAACAGCGGATATTATAGGAGTATTGTGAAGGTGATGTAATAATGCAATTAGAGATGGAATTTTTGTTGCATTGACATTGTTGAATTGGACTATATATATTTTCTCGTGTTTAAATCAACATCGAAATCTCGAGCTCGCCTTTTACGTATCATATTCTTGGCACAACATCGGCCATCATACGGAGAAAGTGAAGAGCGCGCATAGTGCATCTCGGGTAGGTGCATAGGCATTGCAGTCATTTCAAAAGGCAAAATACAAGAAGAGAGTTGAAATTTTTAGCTGCAGTTTTTATATTTTGACGGCATCGTTGGGTATCACGCCTGTCAAAAATGCAAGCAAAATCGCCAATATGCGATACACGTTCACAGCGGTTTTCTAGCAAAAAGTACTCTAAATTTCAATGTTACATGAAGTATTTTGTAACAAACTTTCAAAATGGCGGCTAACAAGAGTAGAAAGTTTTACACAAGAGACGAGGTTTTGAAAGAAGTTGCTCACAATGGTGAGAATGACAAAGGTGGAGAGAATGACGAAGGTGAAGAGAATGACGGGGAAAGTCATTATGAAAAAAATAAAACGCGGGCAGAACAGCTGATGGCGAACACGTCTTTCAAAGCAAGGGATGTCTTCGTGGATGAAGCAAGGTTGTGGCTCACCTCGATAAGTCGCCGTCTTAGCGGGAGACAAACTATAAGGAACCCGTTCTACGGTGAAATTTCAAGGGATATTCCTTATGAAATGTTTACTTTCCTGGTGAGATTGGTGAAATCTACCCCTGAATATTGTCCGCCGTTCTGCTACTATGCTCTCAACAAGAAAGGAGAAGTTATCTCATTTACTTCACTAAGGCTGCTTGTGGATTTTCTAGTTTTACTCTCTCGATTTTCTGCAGACAAAGTAGCCATGTATTTCAAGAGAACTCTTGCTACCGGTTCCAGAAAAGGTCACAATGTTTCAGTTATTACATCCGATGAAAAGGACTTTGCTTTTATTTATAAATGCAGACAAGGTAAACTGGTGATTTCGTTTTATTTTGGTGAATGGGAACTCTAGTGGTTTTCCACAACATGTAGAATAGCTTTTCATTTTTATTTACGGTAGTGAGGTTTCTCTTGTTTATACATGGCTACTTGATATTTTTGCAAAAGTGAAGTAATCAAATAGTAAAACGACCGAAACGTCCATTATCAATGAAGTAAATGATATATACTTCTCCTTTCTTGTTGTCAGCATGTATCATTTAGCTTCTGTGTGAATGAGGTTAACTACCTAAAAATATGAAAGATTTCGACGTTTCGAGCGAAGGACCTGGCATCTGTAAGTTATATAACTAAGATATAACCTTTCTAAATCAATATTGGGAGGGAGGCGGGCTGAAGTACAAAACTGAATTGTTTTTGCACTTTTCCAGTTTATTTGTGTGTTTTGCTTATACAAATTATCGGGGTGGGGGTCTCGAGCCTCCCCCCCCCCCTTCTGACGGCCTTGGTATAGCTGCATGTTTTTTGAGGTTTTACCAGTCTCATTAGTAACAAATTAAATCATTGGAATCTATCCCACAGTCACTTTGTTTATTTTGTTAGACAAAATATACTTGTCTGTACAATATATTTGTCTTTATTTTGCACTGGCATGGCACTCGAGGAAATCTTTGTTTCCTAAATCTAGGTATTGATTAGGGTACATGTTGTCTTAGTAATGAGAACCATTACCAGTGCAATATACCCGGGGCGGCAATGCAAATTTCATATCATTACCATTATTATGTCCATGAGCACGACAAAATTTGCATTGCCACCCCAGGTATATTGCGCTGGCTACGCCAGTGGCCATTACCTGCATGCCTTGAGATCAAGCCATGTTTTAAAATAAAGAGAAAAAAATTCAACACTGCTTGTCTTTATAACAATATATTTTTGTACTAATATATTTATTATTTTATTAATATATTAATATGTATATAAACATTCTGAACTTTAGCTGTAGTCACCTAGGTGGCCCTGCTGTCTTTTATTTAACATCTTTTAAAAAATTGATTGTGGATAAACACTTTACTGTAGTTTTATCTCTGATCTGCTGCAATAGGACAACAATGGTGTGTCACTAATATAACTAATATTAATATATAAGTGTATAACATCTTATCATTATGATATGTAGATATGAATAATTATAGCCGTGTTTACACTATGAGCCTAGACCTAATTGTTTACACTGCTGAAAGGCAGGCCAAAGTGTGTTACTTTGCACCATGAAAATCCAGGCCTAAATGTGTAGTGGAAATACGGCTTTTGTGAACATCTACATTACATACAGTGTAAAAACAAGTATTCACATATGTTAAATTAGTGTAAATATAATGAAAATAAGATAACTTATTGCATCATTTTCTGCTAACTAAGAGACAGATACAGTATGTGCATTTTTTGTAACAATCGTTAAATACAATGTTCAAATAGAATGGCCTGATCGCTTAACATTTTACATAATCTAAGGGGACATACATGAGGTGGAGAAGCTAGACATACACTGGTTTAACTACACCATGAAGCATTTATCAGTGACCCCTTTTAGAAATGCATTGTCTTCAGGCGTCATTGCCATAGCATGCGTGAATGCATTTGACTCCGGCTTTACTGCCATAGCAAGGCCGGATCGGGTTATTAGGACATATTGGCAGATTGTTTTAGTAACCAAATAAAGCAAAACAGTCTTGCCTTGATGATTGAAAATGTCTGCCATTATACAAAATAGACAAGTATGGCCAAGCTTTGTGGGTCCAATTTGAAGCAGGCTGTGAATTATAAATTAGCTATTAAATATCTGGGTTTGTTACTAAACCATGAACTGGGTGCGTCTACATGCATCCTGCTGTAGAAAAATTGTAATGTTTGGCTGGACAATTGTTTGTTATGGACAGTACGAAAAACTCCAAATCACATTTATTTAATTATAAATCTTTAAGTAGGAAAAAGCAGTTGTTTTCATGCCATAATACCCAGAGTACAAACCCTGATAACAATATAGCGTACTGCAAACTTCTTAAGCATGCCAGAAGCAGTGGACCTTAGAAGTGCTACGTGACAAATTATGTTTGAAATGCCATACATTTTGTCATATGCATTTCGCACATTGCTGCTGTATTTCAATCTGTTCTTCGGACCAGATGTTATGTTAGCACTTCTAAGGAATATTGGTAGTTGGTAACGTAAAAGTGAATTTACCCTTAGCTTGTTCCTTACAGTTCTGCTATTAGCTATAGAACAGCATTATCAAACCATATTGGAAAAACAACTGACCTCTTTTGGACAGTACTCAGTAGTCAATATTAATAAATCGAATATAAAAGTATCACAATTGAAGTACTGAACTCTATTGCAACAATTTGTGTACTATATAAGCAGCATATATTTGTACAGGTGTCAAGCTTGCACACCTGTACAAATATATGTATACGAAAACCGTTTTTTCTGTATGTCATATATTAATCCCTTGATTTGATAGCTTATTGTTTCACAGTTTACAAGGTCAGGGTCATTGTATAATTCCTAGCTGCATACAATCACCATACAAGCACCAGGCTAACAATCCTTACCATATGTAACTGAACTGAACTGAACTACACTAGTACTGTAGGTTATACCTCTTGTTTAGAACCTAACTGATACTTCAGGTGAGTGATCCTCCGATTCACACACAATCGTTCACACTTCGCTCACAAAGCTCATTCACTCGTAGTCATGGCAACGCTCTCTCTTAACAAACATGCAGATGAAAAAACTGCAGGTTACAGGTCAGCAGCATTTTAGCGTATCAGGGCGCGAAATAACGGCTGGAGGGTCGGCGGTCAAGGTTACCGGCCAACTCAATTTTAGATCGGACATACCAAATTTCTGGCCGGTCAAATTATTCAGCTTAATGCAAAGCCTAGTAAAGTATACCCCTAAAAATGTGACCATTTTCCCAGTATAGCAGTACAAAAAGCCTTACTGTAATCAGTAATTAAAAATTCCTTCACATAAAACGGCTTGTACTGGGCTAAAAGCATGGTCTTAGCTCTTAAGCCAAAGGCATGGTCATGGCCCATGGGCTTTGTGACGTACTGCGTGCGAAAACTGGTGTACATTGAAGTTGTTTTCCTGCAAAATATTTGACAACATGCATGTTATGGTTCTTAATTATAATACTGTACTTGACCACTTTATTTTGATCATTATTATAAAATGATGATTAGTTTGTTCTTTTACCGAAAGTGACCGGTCAAAATGACCGGCAAGGTAAGAATTTGACCCGACAACTCCGCATTCTGGCCAGACATTGTCCGTTGACCGGCCGTTATTTCGCGCCCTGACGTATGGGTAATACGTTATGGTTAGAATTAGGTATCCACATCAGGTATCATTATAATAGGTGTTTACTAAAGCTCGGTTTACATGTCCAAGTTTGTGGGATCACACTGGGAACTTTGCATAGGTAAATTTAAAGGATTTGCTGGAAATGTTTGAGGGACAAAAACAGTGTTTTTTAACACTGAGTTACTTCACCCTGATATTTATTAGTATCCTTAAGAACTTAGAATTTACCAATGAAAAATTCCTAGTGTGATCACAAAAACTTGATATGCAAACCAAGCTTAATGAAATTTCTACTACCTTAGATTTGAATGACCTGACAATCTTCAAGGCTTTTCTTTATCTTTATGTGGAACTCATGACCACAAAATCTGCAAAATTCATCTGATACATTTTTGTTAAAACCACAATAACAAAACTCTGGATTTTTACTGCTTAGACGCTTTGGTATATATGATCGAGTTGCAGATGGTGCTTTAATCTTTGCATTGTAACCTTGTTGGCGTAGCCAAATCAAGGAGATGTACTCATGGCAGAATACTTGTTCCCACCGATACAAATATGCGGTGTTGGCAGCGTACTTTGAGATTGCTACATGCTTTGCCTCCCTCCCTTCCATTGAATTCAAACCCAACCCTAAGCCATACTTAGTCTTCATTTCTTGAGTATGTTGCGGAACAAGATTACCAAGGGACCACAAAGTCGGGTTAACATTAGACAAGTATAAACAGTAACCTCGATAGATATCAGTGCAAAGTGATTTTAAATTACAAACCTGTTCATCAGTTATATTTACCCGACTGAATAAAGAAACAGCATCTTGCAAGCAAAGGCAGAGGTATGCATGGACATGGATAAGAAGTATTGCTTGTTGGCTTTTAGCTGAACTTTCTAAAATATCAATAATATACATAAAATTTTGCAAAAACAATCTGGAATCCTTACCCGTAAAGTGATAGTCAAACTCCTTCCCCTTCCCACCAGTTTAATTGAACCACCTGATAATCTTCTTTGCCAACCTTTGTAAATGACACTTAGTCCTTAAAATTTCAACAAACTTGTGAAAAAGACAATCTGGTGAAACCTTAGAAAAGCTAAAAATAGTTAGTTTAGACCATGAAATTACAGTATTTAATAGGAGGCGATGGGCTAATGCACATGCATTATTTTTCAAATGAAGAGGTTCTATGTGCGCTTTGTCAATTAAATCTCCCACTAAAGGTGCAAACTCTTGCCGACTTCTTTGCTTTGCAATAAATGTAGTGATCTTGCTTCTCAATGTGTTTACTGTGAGGTTAGGATTAAGTTTTTTCTTAAATTTCTCAACCGCTTTAGCATCTTTAACCCTCTTGCTGTATTCCCACCTTTTCCATGTGTCACTTGCCCTAGAACCAAACGTCCCTTCAAAATTACATATGTCATTCTTACTCACATCTGCAAACGTAGAAAAATAAGTGGCACTGTTAGATAGTTCTCCTCCTAAAAATGCAAGCATCTTCATATCGTTGGGAAGTTCTCCAATAGCAAACTTAACCTGTACAGGTTCTCCTTGGCACATCACAGAATAGATGGTATTAGTTACACGCTGAATGTCAGACATTAATTTAGCGATAAACCGTGCAACAGGCAAGCAGTTTTCACTGCAATTTGCACCAAATAACAGATAATTCTCATTGCTGCTAAGAATACTTTTCCCTATATTTATGAAACTAACCAACCATGAGCAGGCAGTGTCGTCCTTTCCAAATGGAGCACCATCACCTCCTAGAGCAATATAGAACTTGTTAGGCTCATCAAAAGTTAGGACTGTGTACTGATCACTATTTAAATAAAAATCAGCTAACTTTAATACTAACTCCTCGATATCTCGGTAACAACCATTCACTTTCTCACTTTCATCCAGTCCATCACATAACTCTTCCCTAACATTGTACAACTTACCAACCTCAATCGACTTAATATATGACATCAACCTATGGTAAGGAACAAGTTTTGGGGTAGGGCAGTTTGCAACCTTTATACGCACAGCTTGCTTCTTCTTTGAAACCTGCCTATACAAACTAGCTTTATAAACAGATCGATACTTATCCCTTCCCATAATCCCACTACTATAATAAACAGCAATTGACCTAAGCATATTTTCATTTGAGCTCTCGAATTGTACAAGATCTTCTTTATAAATTTTCGGTAAAACCTTGTCCCTAACCTTCCTGCACTTTCCCATTGCTGCCAATACATCCTTTTCCTTACATTTCTTCTCCAATGTCTCAACCATTCCGATCGTTGCCGGTGCCGTATCATCTAAACTACCCCCATGGATTGCACAAGCTGCCTTTATCGTCTCCTGCCTACGCTGTTTTGATGATGATTCCTTACAGCTGGGTGTTCCAGTTGGTGCCGACTGTCGCCTACTCATAGCTTTTTTTGTTATGGTAAAGCCTTCCTCCATTCGTTGTTCTGCCTCACACTGCCTAATTCCATCTACTAGTTCTTCTCTAATCTCATCTACTGCTTCCACTTCACTAACAAGTTTAGCTACCTACAAGTTTAAAATCAGCAACAAATATAGTAGCCCATGGCCAAATTGGCCATGAATCCCTCAAAATATGTTCACTATATATGGTGCAATACATGTCTCTTTCAGTTTATAAATATACACCAAATTCAATTCTTCAGAGTACCTGCTTTATGGTGTAGGTTGAGCAGTTTAAGTTGTGATTAATAATAGCATATACTGGGGTTACGAAAATACCCTTCATAAATATGTTTATAACATGTCAATTTCTAAATATTTCATGTATCTATAAAGTACTTTACAGTTTGATAATATCAACCTACCTTCTCATCTAATCGTTTAAGCTTTTTAGCCGTAGCCTGGCTCTTTTTAGCTTTCTTCTCGTTTTCAATCCAGCCAAGCCTGTGTTGTTTCATGTATTGGCCGACATTAAACCGCTTGTATTGTGATGCCTTTGGCCAAGCCATTTTTGCGATTTTATCACGCAAATATCAAAAAAACAAAAAACATACGATCTTTCACAGACACAGATACTTCAATAAAATCCAAAAATCAAAACGTTTGGATTAAGAACAAAAAAGATATAACTAGCCAAACATTGTCAATTTATCGAATTCGCGACAAACGTCGCGTTTGGCGTGAAAGATTGCACTGTTTTACATTGAAGCAAATAAAGTAACCATAGCAACCTTAGTACCAAAATTATCCTTGAATCTCCCACTTTCTATCCCGGCTAGGCCCCTAGTTTCTCAAATGTTCCTTTAAGTACAATGACAAAGAGAAGTTGTGCAATATTACTGAATATTAATAAGCTAAATACGCTGATTGCTCATTTTGAAACAATTGGACACTTCTAATTGGCGATTTTGTGAGCATTTTTGACAGGCGTGTATTATCAGAAATCCTGATTAAAGATTAAGGAATCTAAGAAGACAGTAAAGGTCATTATATAATAACTACAGTGAAACATGCAATTTGATTGGTCAACAGCCGTGCAGGATCAGACAATCCTGCACTGGAAATTCTGAACAGAAATTCTTGCACATAATTTTACAAATATACTCGCATTGTAAAGTTTCATTGTACGATACCTTTCAACTTTGAAGTAAGTTTCCAATTATTGAGACGTTGGTTTAGTTGTATGAATAAATTTCTGATTGATACATTGCTATTCAGCAAGAAGCAACACGTAGCGTTGAAATTCATCAGACCATGGCATGCAAGTACAACATCTCTCACTTCAAAGTTGATCAAACGCTTTGCAATCTTCACATATTCAGGTCGAGAATCTTCAAAACTACTTTGGCTCTCTGTTTAGCGGGTTTTCCATTTCAAATTTCGTATATTTTATCGAAAAAGTCCCTATATTTTCGCTGTATATTTTCGTGAATTTGGGATCAAATTCTGTTCACATATGTTGTTGTTTTCAATAGAGTGGAGTAGCAATTCTCTGATTGGTTAATTCACGAATGTTGTGAGAACTGCACATTTCATCAGTAATTTTAATCAAGTTAAGCGTCGTTTCACTGTAGCAATTTTATAAAACAATTACCAAATGGTTTTTCCGTGCAGGATAGCATGATCCATGCACTTGGGATGTTGCTCATCTTTCGGAAAGCGTAAGACGCTTTCCGAAAGTCTAGCAACATCCCGTGTGCATGGATCACGCAATCCTGCACGGAAAACCATTCGGTATTCCTTTAGTAATTTATTGTATTTGCTTTTCGTACAGACGCGATTAAACTCTGGATATTCTGTGATGGTGTGATCATTCATGCTCGTATTGAAATTTACACTGTATAACTCTAAACTGTAAAGCGTTTGAAACTTGCTCAAATTGTTCAAATTGATGTTCCAAAAGAAAAATTATTAGGTAGTTGTTCATTAGATTTTGTTATCGTGAATTTGTGAATTTATTGTGCCAATGTGAAATTTCGGTTTTTATCGCCACTATAGCTATTAAGTATATAAAATATGCTAAATGGCCATGTTTGGTATTTCATATATTAGTAAATAAAGCGCATCCTTTTCAATCCCCTACTTCACTTTGTTTATTTAGTCCCGACTGTAGTTTCTTATATAATTTGTGTTCCTATAATTGGTTGAACTTGTTTCGTTTCATGTAATTTGTTGTAGTTTTGTTAAAAATTTCTGCTTCAAAAATATTTATATATTTTCATGTATACGCCTCAATTCCATAATGCCCCTCACCTCCAGCATTCATCCAGCGTTAGACATTTTGGCAAATGTTTGGAATTGGCCCCTCAAGGTCAAAATCTCACTATTGAGGAATTTACACTCTAGTGATGCAAATACTGTAAATATTGGGCCATTGTGACAAAAATATATAGCAAGATTTTAAAATAATTTATTGATTATAGAATTAAATAAAGGCTGTATTTCACACTTTACGACATGCAAGTCAACTGCATATCTCAATAGTATAATTTTATCAATTGTGTGACTGCTTGATTTAACTACTTCTTCAAATGTATGGTATTATGCTTCAGTCATTTGAAAACACGGACCCCCCGAAATGGAAAATCTTGACGAAAATTTCCAGCTCCACATCCAGTATTTAATAAAGTTCTTATTTTCTCCTGGTCTTGGTTTGACTTAATGTGGTGTAATTTGGGGAATAATAGGGGAAAATTTTATAGAGCTGCTCCCATCTGTTAATTTTTGCAGTAATCGCTTAATATTGATTAATTATTTTGATAATTTATTTAAATATGGCAAGCCCATTGTGGTTTGACAGGTTTGTAAGACCCTGTTGACATGAGACCAGGATGAAGACAAACCGGAATGAAAATGGCAATTGTCAACATGTTTACATGAGACCGGTACGAAAATCACAAAATTTTCAACTTATTTCC